CGAATTAGAAAGAGAGAGTCTGCGTGGTGCTTGTGTGTGTGTTAGTGCGCACGCGCGCGTATGAGAGAGAGAGAGAGAGAGAGAGAGAGAGAGAGAGAGAGAGAGAGAGAGAGAGAGAGAGAGAGAGAGAGAGAGAGAGAGAGAGAGAGAGAGAGAGAGAGAGAGAGAGAGAGAGAGAGAGAGAGAGAGAGAGAGAGAGAGAGAGAGAGAGAGAGAGAGAGAGCGAACGAACGAACGAACGACAGCTTGGCTGTCTGGACTGTATACTGGGTGATTTTTGGTTGTGTTCTCCGCTCTAGCGGGACCGGGCGCGGCGGGCAGAAAACGGAGCGGGTTCTCAGGCTAAAACTTGGCGGGTGCGGGCGGAAGCAGGAGCGTTGTCATCCGAAGGTGTGTGTGTGTTTTTGTGTGTGTGTGGTATGGCCAGTACACGACTGTCTCCTTCGTTCGGTTATCCGTGGCACTATCCACTCGCCATAGTGTGGCAGCTAAAATCCACGTCTACACTATCGAGCGTGTATGAACTGTGATTACTTTTTAAATTGCTGATTAGCTATTGGCCATTTCCCTCTCTGACTGAAGGCAGTCGACCAATCGCGACAGACTGTCATCGGTCCAATCAGCGCAGATTAGCTCCGCGCTAAGGAGGGGTTTGGGAACAAATGAATCACTGGACGATTCATACAGGAGTCGCTGGGATAATTAGGTAAAAATAAATGCAGATTATAAGACCATGAAAGTGTTTTTTGACCTTGCATGCATATTAGACTGTTGTTGGAGACCCTTACAACCAGGATATGACCCTATTTCATGTATAATATGGGCTCTTTAAATATTTATAATAATTTCTACTGATATGTACAGGAAACGTCAAAAGTTATATGCTGGTGAGAAAGTTTATTTGTGTCCGGAGCAGGTTAGGTTAAGCCTCCGTAGAACTTATTGTGCTCCTCTTTGGTATAATTAAAAAAGAGAGTCTCCATAAGCTGCATGTTTGCATGCAATGATTGTATGAGGATTCTTCTTAAAAAACATAAATGGTGTAGTGCAAATGAACTATTTTGTAAGGTAGGAGTTCGATTATTTTTTTCTTTTATGAGAAATTTGATCAATAAGTTTATCTGTCAATTTGAGAATTCTCAGAATAGCATTTTAATGTTTTTGATAAATCTTAGGCTTGCGTTTTCTGTCACCTTAAATGAAGTATTAGCATAACTGTCTTTTTTTAAGGTATATTGTGTGGTTTGTATTGTTTTGTCTATCCTTTGTACTATTGGTCCTAGTGTCTGCACTGTAAAACCCAATAAGTTAAGGTAACTCAAACCGTTTGAGGAAACTGATTGCAACAAATCATTTAGGTTCAAAAACTAATCCTAATGAGTACTGTGAACATAATCCATTAGAGTAAACGAAGCAATTTGAGCACAGTAAAACCCAATAAATGAAGAGTATTCAAACTAACCGAGTACTGTAAAACCCATCAAGCTAAGGCAACTCAAACTGTTTGAGGAAACCGATTGCTACAAACCATTTGAGTAAAACAGCTAATCTATAGAAGTACCTTGAACTTACTCCATTTAAGTTGAAGTACTGAGGTATTTAACTCATTATTTTCAACACTGAGTTCAAAACTCTTTTAAAATGTGTAGAATTAACTTTCAGTCAATCTTAAGTTAACTACACTCATTTCATTTGATAAAGTTGAATATTTGGTTTTACACTGTGGAATTAAGAGAATATAAAACCAGCTTTACCCTAATTAAACCCAACGCTCACAGGAAACCTGTGGCAATTCTTGAAGTGAAAAGAGCAACAGAGTACAATTACAAAGTATCTCCTTGTAAACCACCTCAATACAAACGTGTATCCTCGTAACCCAGTACACACACACAATAGTCACCTGTGTTGAAGTGTGCGAGTATGTCCTGCACTCCTCCAGTGTGGTCGTGATGCCAGTGTGTGACTATGATGTGTTGTATTGAAGTGTCGTGCTGTTTCAGAGCCTCGCGAAGACTGACGATATACTCCGGTACCGCGCGCTCACCTGCGTCAATTAACACTCGCCTGACAAACACAAACACACACACGCACACGCACACACACGCACACACACGCACACACACACACAAGTTGGTTTTATATTCGCAAGATTGGTTTTTCTCCAATTTTAAAACGGGAAATTACATTAGCAGCCAATGACTATCAAAGTGCAACACTGCTTACCATCAATTAAATAGCGCGAATGTTGAAGTCATACTTACTTGCGAGTTCATATTTAAAGTAACGAGATAAACAATATAGAGCGTGTTAAGTCCAGAAATGTGCGAATATAAAATCAACTTTACCTCAACACACACACACACAATAAACAGTCACATAACATAACAGTTAAATAAGGTGTACATGGCAAATGGATTCTACTTGTCAGAGAGGGTTGTAACGTTACCTTCTGCCCGTGCCCACCAGGTATGTGTTGGTGCCCTGCAGTGTCATTGGCCCCGGGTTACATCCCAAAACCCGCACCACTCGCGCTGACAGCTGCTCGATACGAGGAATCACCGCAGACATTTCACTCCGGGCGCAGACAGACGGAGGACGGACTTTAAGTGATCGCTGAAACCCTCCAGAACCAGCAGGACAGGTCAGACTTCACACTGACAGCACTGTGTTTGGACTGAGACAGAAACTTCCTGTTCAAAAGTCACACTTTACAAAATAAAAGTCCCTGATGTTCATGATTTTTTTTTATGTAGTGAGGACAATATGGCAGTGTACATGTAGTGTTTATTTCAGCATGCATGTATTTTTGTTGTTGTTTTGATCTGCAAACTACTCATTACATTTCTTCTAAATTTAAAATGAATATATGGTTATTTAGAACTTTTGTTTTTGCATAATACAGATAATATAACAAAAATGGTGGCATGTTTTCAAGTGTATGTGCATTTTTAGAACTCACAATATATTTTTTTATTTTAAAAAAATAATTTTTAATAGAAAAATTATTTTGATACTCTTCATTTTTAACACTCCCAAAATGTTAAAACTCTTTACTCTGACCAACTATCTTTGACTACAGCTCTGAATGCTCTAAATGGCAATATTTTATATTTTTTTATTGAAAATCTGGAACCAATTGTGGTCCCACTATATTAATATTAAGTGGCCAGAACTACTGTGTATTTGCATAAAAATATAAATACAATGTACCCAACGTGTTCATAATGTATTGCAGAACACTTCTAGTGCTCTTGAGGTAAGATACGGATAGGTTTAGGGACAGGTTTGGTGGTATGGGTATATTTAAGGCTGGGTTAAAGTGTAAGGGATGGTCAACAGTGTATTTATAAATGTGATTAAAAAATACTTACAGATGTAATTACAGGTATTTAATAAAGCATAAGTACATTGTAAAAAACATGTATTTACACAATAAATGCACTGTAACAAATTATTAATTTTACTGTAAGTACATATTAGTTAAGGCCACTTGATATAAAGTGGGACCCAAATCTTTATCATACCAGTCTTAAAATATAATAAACAAAATAAAATATTTTTCTTAAACCCGTAGCTAATATATATGTTAAGCCCAGAATAATATATATCAGCAGTTTTTTTTTGCTTTTTATATTTTTTTTTCTTTCTGATATTTATATTTAGCTTAATGTAATAAAATAAAATTTATTTTTATTTTTTTATTTTAAAAAGATTTACTTTTTATCACATGGAAGAAATTGACTTGGATTTAAATCATTTGCCTCATATTTTTATGGCAAATGTGTATGTGTTCAATACATTATATGATATCATAATGCAGTATTTCTGTCATAAAAAAAAACAGTTCTATTAAAAGACAGATTTCTAGACTTTTTCTAAAGATAAGATTTTTATCATACCGGACTTACAGATACTTAAACCCATACTTAATAAATACAGTGCTCAGAATAATTAACTTACAAAGACCAAAACGAAGAAGGTTTTTGCTATAATTGTAGTTAGTTTCAGTTAGTTTTGTATGTACACAATACAGTTTCAGTTATAGTTCTGTTTTTTCTTAAACTCTGGTTTTTATTTTTATTTCAGTTAGAGAGTATTATTTAAAATTTTAGTTTTAGTTTTTTCATTCGTTTTCTTTAACTATAATAACCTTGTTCCTGATTAAACATTAGCTTCAACCTCATCAGACATTTAGCACTGAAGTGACAACACATCAGACAATTACACTCTTTTACATACATTTGTGAATCAACTCTCTTACATGTTACAGAGATGACAGGAATGAAGGACACAAGAAGATGATCGACTGCCATTGTAACAAACATCAAGATGGCTGATGGTGAGGTTTTCAAAACAGGAAGTTCCTATAAATGTGTGTGGAATGAAAGTTTCACAATAGCTTAGTTCACTACTGGACTAATGTTAGCTAGGTGTAACATGTTTAGCATGATAATATTATGCATTTCACTTTAAGACATTAATGTTTAAGGCTTAAATCTTCATTTCATGAGCAAAATTTGGATGATAATGTTAGAATTTGGTGAAAATCAAATGAAAGTGTGGATCATCCAGCCTTGTATCAGGTGTTCAGGCTGCTGATGGTGGAATGCTGTGAGGATTTTTTCACTTTGGGCTCTTAAGTACCAAATCGGCATCATTTAAGTCACAGACTTCCTTTTGTGACTGAGCATGTCCATTTCTTTATGAGCACAGTAAACCCATCTCATAAAGGTGACTTCCAGCAGGATAATCAGCCATATCACAAACATGGCATCAGTAAGAATACTAATAGATGACTATATTATTTATTTAGACATGGACATCACAATTACACCAGACAACCAAATGCATTTGTTTATTAGTTTAGCTGACTTGCTAATTCTCAACACCACGAAAAGCTTGACATGAAATGAAAATAAAATAGATCCATCTACACTATTATAAACATTAAAGCACATTATAAACACACAAACGCTATAGTTCTTTACATAAAACTGCTATGGCTAGGTTTTTTTGTGACAGTTTTTGTGCACTTACCTTTTAACACATACAACTTAGTGCTGTGCAAGTATTTTGCACACTTTTTATTTAAAACTTTGTGTTGTGCACACCCCTTTTGAGAACAACAATTTTGTTTTTGCACATTAACTTTTGTTGGCCAAAATGATAGTGTAGTGAATGCACTTTTTTGGCTCGGCACTGTTTTTTATTTATTTATTTTATTTATTTATTTTTAATAATATTTCACAATAATATTTTAGGCCAGAAAGTTTTTTTTTTTAAACATTTTTATTGCATTTCTGTCTCGTCATTCATGCTCTCATCCTTCTCCTTTTGCTTCTCCTCCTCATCATACTTCTGCTTCTTCTGCTGTCTCTTTTCTTGTTTCTCTTTCTCTTCTCCTCCATTGGCTTTTCTTCCTCCTCCTCCTCCTCTGTGTCATCCTCCATGTCCTCTTCATTCTTATCCTCCTTTTCATTTTCTGTCATCCTCTCCTCCTTTACTTTCATCTCTTTCTCATTCTTATCCTCCTCCTCTTCATTTTCTTTCATCTCTCCCTCAACCACCCCTTCCTCTTTCTTCTCCTCCTCTTGTATCCTGCTTTTTCTCTTTCTTCTACTTCTCTTCTTCATGTTTTCCTTTTCTTCTGTTTCATTTGCTTTCATCCTCTCTTTCACCTTCATCGCCTCATTTTTATCCTCCTCCTCATTTTCCAAACTCTCCTCTTTTATCTTCAAATCTTCTTTCACCACCTCCTCCTCTTGCTTCTCCTCCTCCTCTTTTATCTTGCTATTTCTCTTTCTCCTCCTCTTCCTAATCTTTTCCTCCTTGTCCTTCTCATCATTCATTCCCATCTCCTCCACCTCCTCCTCTTTTTTGACATACTCAATGTTGTGTGTCTTCACATCATCTTTCTCGTCCACCTGCAGACCAAAACCAAACTTAAGTCAGTTCACATGTAAGCAGATATCATTCCTCTCTGATCCTGAAACAGACTGTTGATGTATTAGTAAACGCATCAGGAGAACATGCATTAAAACAGTTGGTCATCTTTATATACTCACCTTTAGGTCGTCATTCACACAACTCGCTTCATGATTATGAATGTTTACAAGAGCAACCTCCAGACTCTGGCCAGACTCGTATGGGCATAGAATGTCATCTGTCAATAGGGAAATGATTGCAGTAACACAGTTTACACAGTTACTCAAGACGTTGTTAAACTTGAGTGAAGGGGAATTCAAAATACTAATTGTTCATCACACAATAGGTCATCAAAACATCAAAGATTGGAAAAAATCTAGCAATGAATATGATTATTTACGATCAGAGTCTGCAGAGACAGAGAGCTGCTCCTCAATCTGACCAAAGCAGGACATCCTGAAGAGTTTTCTGGCAGCTTTGAGGAAATTGGCCACTTTACTCTTCTTCCTCTGAGTCGTTCCCTCATCCTCCTCTACCTCATCTATTAAGAGAAATGATTGTTGTTTACACAATTTTTAGATCATTCCTTATGAACAGAAAAAAAAGCACATGGCTATTGTAGCTAAGCCTTTATTACAACATATTCATCATGATTTTGGTACATTTACCATAGTTTATTTGTAATAAAACTGTGGTTACACAAATGGTAATTTATTTTACTGCATTTGTGTGATAATAAGGGTTGTTTTATACAAACACAAATATGTCATTGCATATAAAAACAGGATGTTTTACGTAAAATCTTAAAGCAAGTGAAATATGTTTCTATAGCCTTTAAGACTCAATTGAAAAGATTATTCGAGTGAAAGAAACTGAAGCCCTTCACCGAGTCAGAGTTTAGCTACAGACCGGCACAAGATGATCCATCACTGTTTTAGTGAAAGTAATAACAAGGAACGAATAAACGACGTGAATTAAAATATCACTTTGAAATGTTGTTCTTTTTATGTCTAAAATTACTTTTAAAATGTTTGTATAGAAACTATGCCATATAGGCCTTATTCATCCAAAATAATTAAAAACGTTTTGGGACAAATGTCTGGAGAAAATGGACGTAAAGGACGCCAATCTTTATACGTTAATTTAAGAAACTCCTGCTTACAGTATTTTACAATATGAAATGTGACTTACAATCATTGCCAATGTCAGGTGTTTGCTTGAGCTGCGTCTCTTTCTGACTTCGGAAGGTCTTGATTTTCCTGGCAGCTTTTAGGAATGATGGCAGTTTTAGGAGCCGGTTTTTCTTTGGCTTCTCCATCACAGTTGTACTTGTGATCTCCATACTCAGTTTGTCTTCCGCCATGTAGACACAGTTTGTTCACTCAGACAAAATCAGCGATCGTTTTTGCTATTGTAAACCAACAATTTTAACTGTTTGTGCTGCAGGTATACTGGTGTGATGTGGAGATTCTAAAGCTTCTACGCATCATGAGATTCTAAATGTTCTAAAAGTGATCTCTGCCTCAATGTTTACTTTTAAAAGTAAAATGACTGAGGATAAATGCATATAGACTATAGAATACACTAAAGGGACTTTGATATTACATAAAATCAAATATGATTAGCTCAAGAAATAGAAATAATTACATGCGTCAAAAGCCGTTTTAAATGCAATTCTAAATTATATTATTACTATATATTATATTTTAAATGGATATACAGTTATATACAAAAATATACAAAAAAACAAAATGTTAAGGCCTCTCTCACACACACACACACACACACACACACACACACACACACACGCACGCACACACACACACACACACACACACACACACACACACACACACACACACACACACTCTTGCATAAAGTAATAAATAGTGTGGGCAGATGAATAATTAAATAAATTACACAAACATATAGGGGGAATAAGAAAATGGTGAACTAAAAGTTGCTTTTTTTTATTATTTTAAAATCTTTAAATGGCAAAATCTGTTTAAATTTGAGTTAATTAAATTAATTCATTATAAATGGCTAGACATTCATTCATTTTACTTATCCAGCATATTTTTTACACAGCAGATGCCCTTCCAGCCAC